ACAATAGATGAGAAAAACGCACATAAGGTGCGAATAAGTGCAGACGTCAACAACTTTACTTTTATCAAAAAATGCTACTGCAACAAACACCTAGCTCTACCTGTGGATACTGCAGCTTCGCAGTCGAATAATGTTGGGTAGGGTCAAATATGCTCTAGTTAAACATAACGAAATTTTGTGCGATTTGGTCTACTAAGAAAAAGTTATGAACGAAAAAGCATCAAAGCATTTCACCGAAGACTTTTGAGCGCTACTGTACATATTTTTAGGCAGCAATGCCAAGCACTATTTTGTCAATTAGCCGAACAGATTCTAGGCATCTCTGAGTGCTCTCTGTGAATAGTTTGGAGACTTGGACGTTTCGTATATCGTATGAAAAAGTCCTTGCCCCGACAACAAGGTGTAGGATTGAAGACAACTCGTTGCAACGCTTACACATCTGACTGCGTGGCAATCGAAAACAGGCTACTTATGGATTGTTTTCCAGGTAGATCACATTGCTGGGATGCTGAACAATCTGATTGCTGTACGCAGAAGAGGCGAGCGTAACAAACAGTTCCAGGTAAGCTTGTTCTGAATCTGATTTAGTAGCTCTTGAAATAATGTGATTATTCGTGGAAGGTTGTTGTAATAGCACCAAAAGTGCGCTACTCCAAAATTTTTACCGCTGATGCTATCAGGTCAACTCACTCGCGAGTTTTTTTTTCAAACAAAATGAGCAGCAAGAGAGGGGAATTGTATTTCATAGTGACGTAATGACCAGCGTAGAATGACCATAACATTCGTAAGAACGCGCGCAGCACAACGCGCTTGGTCCGCTGGCCGTCTTCGCATCCTCGGCAGTTGATGTACGAGGTAAGAATTCGTAATTCTTCCTCATCTCATATTGAGCGTTTAGATTCCCAAATGGTGGTAACACAAAGAGAAATTTTTTGGCTCCTGAGGTAGGAAACGGGAACCACAGGAGAGCGTAAAGCCGATAATGTGACGAAACCCGTCAACTTGTGAAGACTAGAAAGCCTGCTAGATTTCCACGTTTTTCTTTGGGTTCATTTCAATTTAAAGGCACCGTTTACGATAAATTTAGGGTACCCTTTTTTGACGGGAATTCATAGAACTACTCTAGAATAAAGCGATAACAACGAAAAAAACGCAAAAAACGATGAACAAAAAGAAATAGAAAGGGTCAAAATAGAGCTGGAAAGGGGTGTTGGGCGAGTTTCACATTGGAAGAACGGCGGTCAAGGGAGTGTTCGGGCGAGTGGAGGAGGGCGACGCAATGTCTGCAATAGCAGGCAACCCACCCAAGCAGACAACTTCGCCCAATGCGAAAGTGGTGAACGGCAATTAGATTTCGTAGTCAACCTAGCGAGGGGCGGAGGCCTCCCGTCCCCCACTGTTCCTGCCCTTATTGTGCCCTATCCAGACCGTTTTCCAACCTCATTCCTGCACAAATGGTATCAGAGGGTGGCGTCGAATTCAAACCATATGCAGTTCTCCGAAACCATTTTTTCGTGAACAGTGCCTTTAAGAGCAACAGACTTATACATTGATTGACCAGAAGCGATCCGGCACGGCATCGTAAGGAATTCCGGCAGGAGGTGTATGCCTAATGGAGATGAACAGCATAATCAGTTCAGTTGGCTGCCGCGATGTGTTGAGCGCTTCTATCACCCACTTTGTCTTGTGTGCAGTAATGTGTGCTGAAGTGAAATGGTTATGTTATTCGTTTAGGCTAAAATCAATGCGGCTTTGTTTACAATTTACGTAGATTGAAGCATTTCAAGACAATATCGAGATAAAAAAAAAGCTTTAAATTTGGGGTGGTCGGAAGCATATATCATAACTCGAAAAACAGAAGAGTGTTGAAGGATCAAATTTGAAAGCAATAAAGCATAATACTGAGTTCCTGGTTTTGGAAAAAATTCGATCTTATGAGCATTGTTTTGATGCTCTTTACTCAAGAACTAATGTTTTTTCCAGATGATCGTCATCACACACGATGACCACTTAGTGGGAAAGTTGATGATCGGATCGAAGCCTGACTTTATATACGTGCTTGGAAAGGATAGCCACGGTGTATCTCACATCAGACGACAGTATTCTGACGGGTACTTCTTCCCGAGAATGATTTCGAGAACTTTTCTTTTCTTGCATTCATCTATGTTCTATTCCATGGCGTTAGGCCATTTCGCATTCTCTGCGAGGTGACCCGAGATCTAATAGTGAAAACTAACGTACAACCCACGGAGAAGCAAATAGCTCGATTCCTTTGGTTTCAGGGAAAAACATCCGCGCAGATACTGGATCTGAACATCTGCTTTTAGAGATATTTTTGAGGGAATCAACTTTCCACATTTAGACCCGTCGGCCAAAGTACGCTTTATCAAACATTGCATTGTCCCAGAGTTGTGGACGCATGCCCATTGTAATGTATATGAGCTTCTAAGCTGAAAAAGACGAATGGATTCACATATATTCACTTATTTACAAGCTGCGTTCAAATTTCAAAACACTCTTCATAAACACCACAGGCACAAACTCGGAGTCTGTTCTCAAACTGCTCGCATATATTCCTCCATTTCTTTGTCAATCTGCTGCCCTGATTTCAAGAGGGCACAATCGAGCAGTTTCCCTTTCAAAAAGGGATCACACCGCCAAGTCAAGTGGATTGAAACCGGGCGAGCAGCCTGGCCATTTCTCATCGCTTATGACGTGGGGCTGCTCTCGTCGGCAATCTTGGGCTAGTTTGGCTGGAGCGACGTCCTGTTGGAGAAGCCGTGTTTTGTTTCAGCAAGGTAAATCGGGTCTGGACTTCAAAGCATCGAAACGTACGCTCTTCAGGTAGCGTTTAATCGATTTTCACGCTGTAACTCCCTGTGACCGTCCCTGTTCTCTTCGAAACAAGGAAGCCTAGAAAGATATCACTACCGATGTGTCTAGCCAAATGTGAAAAACGATCCTTTTCCTCCCAGATCCTGATTAATCCTGCTTCTCTCTATCGTATTATGGGCTTTCTTCATCTGCATCCCAATACAATTAATGACCGTTTTTACAGAATTATCTTCTGAGTTCTTAGATGTTGTTAAAATTCATATCAAGAACTTAAAAGTTTTTTGATTGACCGCCCGCCTGAACCACCGCAATGAAAGTTTCTGCGCATAGATACATCAGAGAAGTCGAGAACTTGCTCAGAGAACATTTCAGGGGTTGTGACAACGCGAAACGACTCGGCATTTCTTTTTTAATCATTCGAAATGTCTCTGCTGTTCTCAGCGCTTGAGGACAAGCCTCTCTGAGATGCCAAAAAATGGACGACCGAGAACAGTGAATTCACCGAGGATTCGTGCCATCGTTGGGAAGAGGATCACCCGCAACGATGGAGTCAGCATGAGTCGGATTGTTTCTGTCCCCGACATCAGCCGTGAGGCTGTCCAGAAAAGTGTGAAATGTAACCTCAAGCTGAATGGTTATGGGCTCTGTCGAGGACAGTTATTTGGGAACAGTCCAGATAAAGTCTTCTGATGAAATGCAAAAAACTTCTTCGAGACCTCAGGGCGCGCCACATCTCTGAATTGATTTGAAATGATGAGAAAATTTTCAAAGTAGAACCTTTTTGACCAGTCAGGACCAGGGACAGTTATTGCTCAAAACCAAATACAGCTGTTGCCAAAAGCTAACGAAGTTTCTCCAAAACGTCGTCTTGGTCATGGCTGACCATCTCCCAAAAACGTGATCATTTGAGTGGGATAGCGCAGCATCCAAAACAATATTAGTCTCCATCGACAGAAATTAGAAAATCGACTCGAAGGTTGAGCAAAAAGTACTTTTATTGGGTCCTCTTTGAGCTAGACCAGAGAGCACTTCGGTGACCGATCGTTCGTTCATCAGCAAGATTGGGCCCCTTAGCATGCCTAATAATCAGCTGAAGTCGTACCTGCTGCGCACTTCTCCGGGTGCTGATGGAAGGACATCCGATCTCCCTTTTCGCCAGACCCCAATCCAGTGGGCTCCACTTTAAAGGGGCTTTTGAAGAGCAGGATCACAGGACATTCTTACTGCTCGTTGGGCGCTCTGGTGTTGGTGCTTCTATGGAGTAAGACGATATCGACGTAAACTAACTGCGGCGCACTGTGGGCTCAATTATTGACCGTCTAGACGCCTGTGTAAGGGCAAAAGAACCGAACTTCGAACGTGTCCTAAGTGATCATGCAGCTCTACTCCAATCAACAATGTGGTAGATTTGTCTACCAGTACTATATCCTAAAGTTACGCTTACAAATGTGGCGTCCTATACTTTTTATCCACCCCGTATGTAGGTAGCAGCAGCGACTTCCACAGGTTCTCTATGGTGTCCAACTCTGTACTTTATTTTATCAATTCTTATCCTTGAGTAAAAGAAGCACAGGAGCTGGGATCTGCGCGGAAGTAGTACCATTCTGCTCTGACTATCCTCAACGGTTTTGTGCGGCGTAATGTAATTTACTTAGATGATTTTGCGACTAGTACATACAGGTCACTATAGGAATAAATTCAGTGCACTCATTTCAAAGATGTACACTCCCTTAAAGCTCAAATAATTACAGTCTTGAATTGTGGCCTATCCTTACAATGCGGTCGCATCTTTCCGTCCGTCAAGGAACGTGGTATCATCTAAAAGAGCACCTGGAGAGCTTAGGTTAAGTCCGGGATGGGTTGGGCATAGGCCAAGATTAATAGAGCACTTGTGAGCACAACAATGCTCCGCTCAGGGAGAGCAAGACATCCACCATTCTGCGTTTCGCCGCGGGCGAAAATTCTCAAATTATTCTCAGAAAAGGGCGAGGGTTTTCACGGACTACCACGTTATTTTCCTCCTACATTTTCGCACATTTTACATCGCTATGATGGGCTTGCTGTCTGGTAGTTACCACCTGAATCGTGTATCGCCTTAAGTTATTAGGTTGAAAAGAAAGTCCTGCAACAAAATAATGGTCTTTTTCAAATCATTTCTGAAAATTTCCA